ATAAATAATATATAATAATAAAGAATCATATTTAAGTCTCAAAAAATTTTCATCGGAAGTAAGGCTGTCCACAAGTTGCTCGGCAACTTTTGGGCAACTTTTTGAATTTCGAGCAACTTTTTCACTTTCGAGCAACTTAGAGCAACTTTTGATCTTTTTAGCATGTTTTGTTCTTTTTCTGACTTTTTCAGGGTTTAATCCACGTAATCTATTAAAAAAGAGTAAACTTTGTATTTTCAATACTCGTTTCATTTGTAAACAAAATGGCGGACGGAGTTGAACGCTCCAGTGATTCAGATTCATTCAGATTCAGGACAATTGAGACAATTGATTAAACCGTCTAATCGATTAAAAAAAATAAACCTTATGTTTAGCAACTTTTTGGCAACTTTTTTATTTTTGAGCAACTTTTTGATTTTTTTAGCAACTTTTGGGCAGCTTTTTGGACTTTTTAGGGCAACTTTTTGAACTTTTTGGAGCAACTTGTGGACAGCCCTAATCGGAAGAATACTGCGCTTGTTCGGTCCGTTGTCATGGCACGTTTCTATAGCGGTCATGATCCCACTATTCCCTTTGTGTGTTTGTTAACTTGTTTTATTGCTTTTTCATTAGTCGTCACAATTATTGCAAATGTCATAAAAGTGCGTTAAAAACCTTAAATTGATTCCCCATCTAAGGCTTTACCAGCTGTGTTTTCCATGTGTAATGCACTAGTCAATTGAAATCCCCGCTCCCCGACCCCCGGGGATTACCGGGGAATTTAACGTTTGAGTGGTGTTAAAATAAGACATTTTCCCCGGTAGTCGGGCCACATTCATTGTTAAAATCCCCGCTACTGTTGCCCCGTTATTTTGGTCTAGTAGCAAATAACAAAACAAACACCTTTCAATCAAATTTTCTGTGATACACAGGGTTAATTTTTGTATAATCCTGTGTACTCATTTGCGTACTATACATGTGGCTAACTGGACGGAGAAAAACATGTGTAATAAGTTTCTTTTAAATATTTTTCATGCAAGGAAAAATAAACAAATAAAAAAGCGGGGTTGAATACCAATGCCTTCAGGGTATTTCTCAAGATGGCTGACCTCTAGTTTCCAACCTTATGCATGTTCAAACGCGCGTTAAAATCCCCGCTCTTTGCCCCACTTCGACAGCAATTCATCAAAATCCCGACCCCCGGGGCAATGTTGCTGTTAAAAGCACGTTCAAAACGCGTCACGTCCCCGTTCAGTTCCCCGCTAGCCCCGGGGGGCGGGGGGTGGGGGTTTCAATGACTAGTGCATAACAGAACCTTGATCAAGTGTGATTCGTATGTCGCGTACTTCACTGACATCCCGAATACGAAGTACAACCATATTTGAGTGTTTTGGCGTTCATTTGCAATATTAAACTAACGATAGCTTTTTATCAGGCAGAAATTGCTTAGTTGGGTTTGCTCTGAGGACCAAGACGACATGTTTGTCTGTGAACAAGGTCGGCTTTCCTGCAGAACAAAAGCTCATGATGACTCTATCATCAACTGGAAATTCGACTGCGGTAGTCGTGATGGACCACACAGAAATATCCACTTCCATAGCCCAGACTTCGCAGGGTTTGCTCATGCCATAGCTATTGGAGTTCCTCTACTTTCCGAGGCAGGAGCAAAGTGGCTTTCCACTCTTATGACAAATATAGAGAAGCAGTTTAAACCCGATGCGTAAAACTGACTTTACATGCAGTACGTCACAACATTGAAAACTAGCGAAATTTTCACGCCAACAAGTATAGCATACTAAATCCCTCACTGGAACACAGTTTGATCTATGGTTTTGTAAAAGCTTTAGCTTATAGTACACAGTTTTAATTTCAGGCAAACATTAGGATGAGACGATTTTAATTAAAAAGAAATTATTAAAATAAAGTAGATCGTTAAGATCATCATCAGTGTTTCTTCTTTGACTCTTGAATGTGTGCTCTTATCAAATCAATGGTAATCAAAGCAAACTTTCAAGATTAGGTACTTCCACGTAAGGCATGTCAGAGTTGCATCTTTGAGTTTTCTTGCGCTTCAGAATGATCAATGTACTTTCTGAATATTATTTAAATTGCGAAGCGAGCTACTGAGTCGGTTATAAGAGGAGTATATTTTTGCCACTTATCTCAAATACAAACCAGAGAACTATTCTAATTAATGACCAAATTTGCAAACATGCCTTTTCGCACAGCTTTTGCAAAGCCTTTGCATCAAGTATTTCACTATAATAATACAAAAATGGAGACCATTACAATTCATTTTATCTCATCCCTAAACGGAGAGAACCATAATACACACAAGGTCTCAATGCAAGGTTATCAACAAACTCATTCTTATGTTAATGTGCCAAGCATAATCAGAATGGCTTTCCACAAGTCGCTTTGTTCTAACAGCCAATCGTCTTTTGGTTGGCACATGAATAACAAAGGGTTATGTCACATTGAGCATCGCTATAGCATCTACTGCACGCGCCTATTATGTTAGACATGATAAATCGTTTTCAAGTGCTTTTTTAATGATCAACAATACTAATATTCTGTACTATCAAGTGTGGACATCATTAACGGCCAAACAATTTAAAAGCTTACTCCCCATGCGCAAAAAAAAACGAAATACTATAACTCAAGGCAAACTATGGTACAATTCCTATATAACTGTACTGGTCGAAACTCTAGTATAATCTTTCAGTGACGAGGGACATCAGAAAGTGTATTCCAGTCAAGTCGTGTCCACACCCACGTCAAAAACATAGGGTACAAGAGCATCTAGCAAGTCGTTATCCTTATGTTCGTCAAGGGGCAGACGATTTGCTCCTAAGGACAAGAGAAAACAAAATATACTTATTAAAGATAAACTAAACAGTTTTTTTATTGAGAGAAACTTAGAGAAGTAAAAAGTACCATTCAAGGAAAAATCAATCGGTATTTCATCAAGGAATAAGACTCAATCAAAAGCAAAAAGAATTATATTAACCTTCGCGCAAGGACACCTTCATTTTTGCACCTCTCTTTGGCTTCAACTCAGCTTTCTTGTTAGGATCTTCGTGAAACTGTTTGTCCTGCTGCTCACCAAAATACCTTCCTCTTGCCATCTGAAACATGGCTTCATTCACTTGCTCACTGTTTATTCTAAAAGAAAACTTAGTTTTTAGCAATTTGTTATTGAGTTAAATGGCGTTTTGAACGATGATCAACAACAAGAACAGTGCGTGCAGAAAATTCGATCCCTTGGTTAAATGCAGAAATTGATCTCCGAAAAAAACAATTGTTATATGATTAACCGACATTATTGCAGTGCAAGATAGATAACTACACGAGTAACAATAAAAGACGAAATGCCTGAATGGAATGATTGGGAAAAAAACGATTACTATAATTGCTGTTAAAGGAAGAATTATGAAATGTTTCAGGTTCTCTAAAGCAACACAAACGTCTTTCATGCAGGATCACAATCAAAGTATACTTAGATAAAACCAAGTAACCTTAAAACTATTAAATCAAATCAAGGGCGCTAGAACTGAAATTATGACCTATAAGATCCAAAAATTGCTTAATTTATCCAACATAAGATAGTC